TCTTTTACTTCTAGAGTTGCTTTCGTGAGGTGAATAAAAGCTAGTGGGATGGTTTCTTTTTTCTTTCCTTTCCGTTGATGTAGGGGGCGGGTGGAGATAGGTACATTTCAGTCTGGGGTTGGAAATATGGGGATGTAAAAAACAAATGCAATACAATACTGTTAGAGTCATACTTTGTTTGATGGAGATGAACGGGTCAGGAGTCTTCATCCATAGATGAAGCGGTATCCTGCTCGTCAATTGTAGAATTGTCATCGTCCTCAGGATCTGGCGTGGCGAGTCCATCTATATCTCCTTCAGGGACATCCGAGGGAGGAGCGAATGGTCGTGATATACAGTAACTAGAGTCGTTGAGTGGGTCCTCTGACTCAGAAATGTCGAGGTGATCTTCAGCAGTCTGCGCTAAAGTCTCTCCCAGTTCAGAGCTATGATGGACCTCAAGGCCCTCATCATCAAAGAGAAGGTTCCCGGTCGAACTAGTGTCCTCATACACTTCCCCGGGTACCGGTGCATCTTCGTCGCTGGCACATGCCGCATCCTCGTCGATAGCAGCCATACTCAAGGCGAAGTCATCCTGAAGCCGTTTCAACCATTTCCGAAGGGTCTCGCCTTCCATAGTTCCGTTGCGGACTAGAAGGAGTTGTTCTTTCAGTGAGAGGATCAGATTCCTTCTACGAGTCACTGCCAAGGCTTTGGACTTGCTGTGTCGGCGTTTAGCGAGCTGGTTGAGTTTCTCTGATACCTGCTGAGCGGTTTCGAGGACACCTGGGGGGAGGTCTACGAGCTTTGCTAGGGCGAGGCCGTAGAACTGGTTCGTGTCGGGGCTTTCGGCTATCTTGTAGAGCATGGTCATCTTTGAAGCATCGGGGGATACTTCGGCTGCGAGATGGAGGCTCACGACGCCATTGCGCTCGCCCATTATCAGTGCGAGATCGCGGAAATGGGTCACGAACCAGACTAATGCGTGGCTTTCTACGAGGGCTTCTGCGATGGCGATTGCTATAGCGAGGCCGTCTGTGGTGCTGGTGCCGCGACCTAATTCGTCGACGATGACCATGCTGCGCGGTTCGATGTTGCGGAGGATGAAGGCCATTTCGCGCATTTCGGCGGCGAAAGTTGATACGTTTGCTTCGAGGTCGTCGGATGTGGAGACTCGTGCGAATAGTTGGTGAACGATGGGGAATGATGCGTATTCTGCTGGGATGAAACAGCCGATTTGCGCCATTACGGTCATCAGTGCTAGGGCGCGGATGTAGGTGGACTTTCCGCTCATGTTGCAGCCTGTGATGATCTGGAAGCGGGACTGTTGCGTTGCGTACGCATCATTGGGGATAAATTTCTTCGTGTGTATCTTCTCGCGGATTGGATGACGTCCGGATTTGATTGCGAGAGTGTCTGTCAGTTCAGGCCGGATGTAGTCGTGCGATGTTGCTAGTTGGGCGAATGCTGCTAGCATGTCAAGCATGGCAATAGCTTCGCTTACTTTGAAGAGTCCTGAGATCTCTGAGCAGATGTCGTGGATCAGTTCCTGCACGGTTTCGTCGCTCATGTTGATGACTTCATTGTGGGCATCTGTGATCTTCTGATTGAGCTTGACGAGGTCTAGCGTTTGACACTCTATACGGTTCTTTTTGCGATATACGTTGATGAAGACGTCTGGCAAGGATTCGACAGCTGCAGCTGAGAGGCTAATGTAGTATTGGCGAGCTCTGTCGAACTTCAAATCAAGGGCTATACTGTGCGTTTCTGCCAAAATTAGCTATGAGCAGCCTCGGAATCGATGTACAGACCTGCTAGCTCTGCTACCAGATCCGCGGCATCTGTATTAGCTTCTTTGTATGTCTGTCGAGCGACGTCGAGAAGGCTGTTCACACCAGCCTAGAGAAAATGTGTCAGGCTTGCAGAGGAACTTGCACAAGAGACTTACCCGGACACAGTAGATGCGCTGATTCCTAAGATCAAGTGGCCGGGTCTGGTATGTAACATGCTCGTTGAGGGTTTCTTCAATCATCTGCTGAACAGCCCGGTGGCCTGCCGGGGCACATAACTGTATAGTTGTTAGCTACATTAGGGCAATACCAGCATATGATTACTTCTCTTATGGTCGTTAAAAGACTACTCTGAGCTGCCGTAAGTGCCTTGTAAACTGATTTGATTGCCCCAACATATGTTTTGACCATTATAACATTGTTGACGGACTGCTCAACATATTGGAAGGCACGTTTGTTGGGCACAAGAATAAGCTGGATCGTCAGCCAGGTTATCAAAAACGATCGATTCCACGTACAGAAGTAAGGGCCTTGTCCGCATCTATAAAGCCTTTGAGAGCTACGTTTGGTATGGTTAGACTAAGTCGTGTCTAGCAGGATTACAGGCGAACCTTGTCTCACCGAGACAAACATGTCCTCCTTTGTAGATAAATCCTCAACAGCATCGTATCGCGCTTGCAGCTTGGGTTCTTCTGTTGAAGGCTGAAGAATGTTGGCTCTGAGAAGCCTTGCACCCATAGGTGTCAGGGTCTCATTGAGCAGTCCGTACAAACTATCCTTCGATTTCGCATTGTGTATGTTCTGTATCAACTCCAAGGAGACAATGGTGGATAGATCAATTGACATGGATCCCTGAGAGGGCTCGAACTTGATACGAAGCGAGTGACAGGTAAAGGTCCTGTTCAGCTCCAGCTCGACATACTTTAAGACCTACAATAATTAGCCGGGTCAGCCAGACGGTTGTAGTGCTCACCGCAGCAAAGCAGCAAGCAGCATAATAGTTCCCTCCCAGGACGATCTTGATGGGTTCGACATCCCCGGAAAAGGCGAGTCGGTCTACATAATCATGGCCAGCTCTCTCCGACCAGAACTTGCGATCTATAAAGGTAAACGTAGTATCTTGAATATTCTCCTGTATGATGTAGAACAATTTGGACTCTTTGGCAGAGGTTGCGAACAAAATCTCCGTCGGTTCGAATACTCTTATCTTCGTGACCGTTTTGACGTACGTCTGGCTATCACATATCTGACACAGGACTGTCTCTGCAGTAGCTAGATTGACAAAAGCAAGGCCAACCGTCGAAGAGATACCTCTGGACTCACTAACGGCACAGATGATATCCTGGGATGCAACGCTTGTTGCCGTTGTCGTCGGCCTCGGCGTAGTTCTGGGGAATGTGCTGGTTCTGGAAAAGGGAGCAACAGAACTAGCAGCTCCAATGGAGGAACTCCGATTAAATGAAGCCGACATTTTGCGTATTGGTGGTCAGGAAAAGAGCAGCAGGATATAGTAGAACATGATGCAGGATATAGTAGAGCTGCCGTCCGAAAGCGGACTAGCGGCGATAGACTCCCCGCGATAGCGACGGCTATCTTTTATCTTTTTTTCGGCGAAAATCTTCAACGACAAAACCATCCAACAAAGAGAGGCACAATGGCGACTCTTCTACCTCCCCCGTCGAAGCGTCAGAGGACGGAGACCGCTGAGCGGGCCCGTCAGCAGCAGGAGATTCAGAGTATCCCTGAAAACCTGGGTAGCATTCGTGTGCAATTCTTCGACCAGGCGACGGGATCTGCGACCGGGCCGGCGGTGTCCGTTCCAGTCGCTGATGCCAGTGTGAAGAATCTCGAGACTCTGTTGAATACATTACAAGGCAATGTAGGTATGCAGCGAGGCATTGTTCAGCATTTACAGAGACTAATTGGTTTTTGCGCGGCAGGAAGAAGATGAGCGAGTACCGTACCGGTTCACATACCAATCCGATGGCAAAGACAAAAACGACCAGACAATCGACATCCTCTCCGACCTGTATCACTCCCTCTTGAAGCCCGGCCTGAAGACGACCGAAGATACTGTACATCTCTACTTCACTCCCCAGGCTGTGTTCCGCGTCAAGGCCGTCTCGCGATGCTCCGCCTCGATCGCCGGACACGGCGAGGCAATTCTTGCGACCAGCTTCTCCCCTGTCAACTCATCCACAATGGTCACCGGCAGCGGTGACTCTACAGCTCGCGTCTGGGATTGCGAGACTGGAACGCCTCTGCACACCTTGAAGGGACATACCAGCTGGGTGCTGGCAGTCAGCTACTCGCCTAACGGCGCCATGATTGCGACGGGAAGCATGGACAACACCGTGCGCTTCTGGGACGCAAAGAAGGGAACCCCATTGGGCGCGCCCTTGAAGGGACATGCCAAATGGATCACTAGTCTGGCCTGGGAGCCATACCATCTTCAGCAGCCCGGCCGGCCGCGCCTGGCGTCCGCATCCAAGGACTCGACGGTTCGCATATGGGACGTGGTCTCAAAGCGCATCGACATTGTCCTCACCGGGCACAAGGGCTCGGTGACCTGTGTCCGCTGGGGCGGAACCGGAAATATCTACACTGCATCTCACGACAAGACCGTCAAGGTGTGGAATGCTCAGAACGGCAACCTGATCCAGACCCTTTCTGCGCACGCCCATCGCGTCAACCACCTGGCTCTGTCTACCGACTTTGTCCTCCGCACTGCCTACCACGACCACACCGGCAAGGTGCCGCAGGCGGATGCCGAGAAGGTCGCGGCAGCCAAGCAGCGGTTCGAGCAGGCGGCGACCATCAACAACAAGATCGTCGAGAAGCTTGTGTCCGCAAGTGACGACTTCACCATGTACCTGTGGGAACCTGGGAATTCCAGCAAGCCCGTTGCGCGACTGCTGGGACACCAGAAGGAGGTGAACCATGTGACGTTTTCGCCAGACATGGCGTATATTGCGTCGGCGGGCTTCGACAACCACGTCAAGCTATGGAACGCGCGTGACGGAAAGTGAGTTTACCACAGAATAAAAATTACTATACAAAAACTAATAGACGATAGATTCATCACGACACTCCGCGGCCACGTGGGCGCTGTGTACCAGTGCTGCTTCTCGGCTGATTCACGGCTGCTAGTCTCGTCGTCCAAGGACACAACCTTGAAGGTATGGAATGTACGGACGGGCAAGTTGCAAGAGGATCTGCCGGGCCACAAGGACGAGGTATTTGCGGTGGATTGGAGTCCGGATGGACAGAAGGTGGGAAGTGGGGGGAAGGACAAGGCGGTGCGGATATGGAGGAATTAACCATACCATACCCATAAGCTATTTACACTCTACTTCGTACTATATTATAGAACGCATGACACTGTTATGACTGACAATATCATAATAAATATACTCCCTCCCACCAAATATTACAATAAACCCAATCAATCACAACATCAACGAATCATTAATGACATTAACATACATACATATACAAAACAACCACAAACCCTACTATTCCACTCTATACACACCACAACTATAAACCACCCCATCCCCCATTCTACCCCACTATTATCCTACCACTACCAGATAGTACTCATTCAGATGTACTCCCAAGCAGCAACCGAACCATTAGTAGCAACAGCCAAGGCATCAAAGCCCAAGCAGTCAGCAACATTGCCACTAGGCACAGTAGCATTCTTCGTAGCGGCAAACACCTGCCACTTGTTACCCTCGTCCGGGCAAGCCATGAAGCCCGTGGCACCGGCACCAGTGAAAGTCCAGGTGCCGAAGGGCTTGCCGGGGGTGTACTTGAAGGGGCCGGTGGAAGAGCCAGCGGGGATGTAGGCCGAGTGGGGGACGGTGAAGGTCAGGGCACCGCTGGGGGCGACGTAGACTTGTTGGCCGCCGGGGACTTCGACGTCCTGTTCATTGATTATTTCATTAGTATGGTGTTTAGGTATTAGGGTTGGGGTATAGTATGGTATGGTATGGATGGGAATGTACTCACCAAAGCAGAGCCATCACCAGCAAAAACGGTCTCAGTACCAGCGGGGCAGCCGGAAGAGATGGGGCAGTAAGAAGAAGTGTTTCCGCCCAGGTAAAAACCACCGCTGTTGGCGTTCAAGGGGAGGAGGTGGATGGGGGAGCCAGAGCGGGCGGACATGATGCCGAAGGTAGAGGGAGTAGAAGAGTTGGAGTCGCGCTGCTGGGCGGGGGCAGCGGCGGCCAGGAGGGGGAGGAGGGTGGAAGCGAGGGTGAACTTCATCTTGATGGTAGTTGATTAAAGATGATAGTGATTAGAGAGAAGTAGATGGTATGGTATGAAAGTTATCAATCAAGTGGTTGAGAACGAATGTCTTTGGAGTAGTACTGAAGGGAAAAAGAAAAAACCAAAGCAGGATGTAAAGCCGTATTTATATCCTACGATGAACAGACTATGAGGTCAACCGGTTACTATTAAGGAAAGACTAAGTGGAGTGGTAGGAGTGGAAAGAATCAGAATGGTCAGTCGAGCAAGGGCCCTCCATCACAAGAAACACAACGAAGGCACTACGGTGCACTATGGATAGCAACAACATCGCCTCCAGCAGTCATCCCCATCTCAACCCTGCCACACAGCCCAAAAACCGCAAGGAAGAAGCGGCACGAGCCGTCAGAGAATAACAGACCCTAAACCTATCAGAAGAGGTCTCCCACTTACTATCTACTAGTTCAGTGCACTAAAGTGAAACCGCATGGAGACGAAGACCCTCACCAGCCATGCAGAGTGGCTCAATTGAAGGAAAAAAACTGGGGAACCCATGAGCTCATGACGTGCCGGTTTAAACGACCTGTCTCAGTTGTTGCTCCGAGACACGGCAAGGGAAGGAAAACAAAGTAGAAGGGAAGGGAAAAGGTTGATGATGGACCCCGTTGGCGACCGTTTAATTATAGAACGACGATCATCTCCAATCAATGTCAGAAGTTTAGGGAAAAACAAGGTCCGTCCAGTAAACTAGCAGCTTACTATGGACAAAGTAAGTAGTCAGGGTCCCGGAACCCGAAGATCCGATGCCCCATTTCTGACTTACTGCTCTTCTCGCTCTTTTTTTTGGTCGGTCGGACAAGCCCGATCTTACTTACTCCAAACCCTGCATCATCCCTTGCGAAGGTTTGCTGCTGAAGATTGAGCTTTGAAGCGGCCTTTTTCCGACGCCCGCCACTCCTCCCATGGAAGCACCTGGCCGATCGACGTCATCGTCGACGTTGCGCACCGCCACAGTCAATACGAGCTGGAAGAGGCGACCTGGTCTCGGTTGAACGATGGTTCGTCCGGTCGAGTCTCTACGCTTGTCCGGACGGAACTCTAACCTAGTCGGAGTTGATGGAATTGCGAACAGAGCACAAAAGCAATGGATTACTGCTATCAGGCTATCATTCATACATTCTCCTAGGGTAATGCAATACAGTACAGTCCCCATAAGATGATCATTTTCGCCTCTAACCGTTGTGCGCGGGACCGTAGAACCAGGCGCGAAACCATCACTTCGTATAAAGCAAGTCACACGAATCGAAAGCAAGGCAGCATTAATCGAATATCACGTAGCAAGAAGAAAAAGAGATTCAGGAGAACCCGAAGAACCCTGTGACACCGGCCCAGATAGTAACAATACACCCCATCCTGTTTGAAAGAGCCCATCACCAACACCGCAGAACCAAACCCCGCGTCCAACCTGACCCGTATATATATAAGAACGTGAGCAAAAAGCAACCAAAAACACAAAACATCGCCCATTGGTATCCCGAATTAGCAAATAACCCTGGTTTAGTCGTAATCGTCCCCGGCGTCGTCTCCGTCGCTGTGGCGCCCGCGAGATCCCTTCACTCCGTCCTTGCGGATGGGAATCTTAATCCCTTGGAGGGCAAAGCATTTGCTTAGCGGTGTGCTCTCAATGACACCGGGGAACTTCTTGGCCGAAAACACGTGGAATGGTTCCGAGAACACAGAGGCCAACACTGGCGCAGAGCCGTGGTTGATCACGGATACCCCGTTGGGGGAATCGCCGGACTGGCTGCCCACATTCACAAAGCTCATTTTCAGACTGCAGGAATAAATCAGTACATCACCAAAGACGATCAGCTCAAAGAACCGCACTCACCGGAAAGAGCCCTCTGTGCGGACACTCAGGTCCTGCAGGATAAACCACACTCCAATCTTATTTTCCGGGTCGGTCAAGCGGAACGCGCTGGCGCTGAGACTGCCGATGAGGTTCCGCGTGAACATGCCGCCAGGGCCAGAGGCCACAGGCTGCGCCGGGGAAATGTTGGCCTGCGGCATGTGACCGCCGCCATAGTAAGGCTGATAATAGGGGGCTTGTGGATTCGCTCCATACGGGTTCTGGTACTGTAGTTGGGGGTTGCCACCGTAGTAATTGTTCATCTGAGGATATCCAACAGGCTGGCCGTAGGCATTCTGCGCGTAGGGCGGGTAGGAAGGCGAGACACTATGCGGCGGAGGGGGGTATGAGGAGGACATGGCCGTCGATATCGATGGAGAAGTGGCGGAGTGCTTGACGAGGTTTACCTCGCTGGTCCCCTCCGCGTTCCACAGGTCGACCATGAGCACGTAGAAGGACGTATCGATCTCACTAAAGTGGCCGGTCAGCACCGATCCTCAGCAGAGCGATATTTGATGCTGTCATACTTAATGTCAATCTCCTTTTCAGTCTGAGCATCTCGGACAACCAGGCGAATGCAGGGAGGAGGTGTAATTGGTCGGCGATCCTGAGCTACAGTCAGCTACCTATAGGAAAGGCGGAAAAAAGAGCAGTTCAAGGACGGCACAGCAAGACCAACCTTATCGCCGAAGCCACACATCCGGGCGCGAACCGGCTGCTGAACCACCTGCAAAGACCAAATGCGATTTTCATGAACGGTGGAGAGCGGCGCTAGATGGCTCGACGGCGGTATCCCGCCGGCAGACGCGACGCCTGCAGAGCCCGGAGTGGGGTATGAGGAGGAGGGGGGTGGAATACGATCCATCGAGAGCGGCGGCGGGGGAGGCGGTGCGGTATGTGTACGATCGTCCAGAGCGTACATGACGCTCATCACGTTGAAGAAGGCGAAAGTCGAGGAAGTGGTGGCGGGGTGAATACCCGAAATTGCAGCAGCAAGACTCGCGACAGGCAAACCCAATCTATCACGAGTCTAGAGTCGAGCAACGACACAGGCTCCTATGGCAGTCCTGCAAATGGGAACCGGATGAATGTACACGCGTCGTTCGGCGGATGGTGCACAGTGTAGACGTGAAGCTCGTGAAGTGAGGATTGAACTCTGGGTAAGGCGCAGCGACGAGCTGTCAAAATGCGGGAGAATCGCTGAGCCTTCCACGGATCGGCCGCAGGACCACAGGTTCCCCAATGATGACCGCTTTATCCTGGGAGGTAGCACAAGGACAGGAACCCGCAGTGCTAAATGATTGGCGGCTATGAAGCTGCAAGCCAACCCGAAGCTAGAACAAGACAAACCAGAAGATAGACTGGAGGGAGGAGGAGGAAGAGAAGAAAAAAAAAGGCGGGGTTGCGAAAGAGGGCAGGCTGAAAGTGAAGAGGGAAGACGGAGAGTTGGTGCGGACAGCAGAAAAGATTGGAGCAGCCGAGGAGGGGACGAAAGCAGAAGGTGCGCGAGTCACGGGCAGCTCTCGAGGTCCAGAACCTTAAGTTTGGGAGGAGATGAGCTCATTTGCGGTTTCTACGTCTGGTCGCCTATGAGTAGCTACTTATTACTACTTAATAGATACTGTCTATCCTACGGGCGCTGGTTTTGTCTATTCCTTACAATGAAATATGATAAACAATAAACAATTCTAGTATATCCAGGGAAACATGCTATTCCAATCTTAAAGTATGGAGTCAGTTGTCTGCTGCTGGAAGGATTTCCATAGAACGCAAGTTGAAGGGAAAAGGCAAGCCAGCCCACGGATCTCCGGGGGGAGGTTAAGAGAGGGAGCCAGTCCCCAGCAGTGCCAACAAGCCCCGGCAATTCCTGGGATTTGGGGAGCAGAAGGATTGGGCTAACGGGCGTAGCTGGCCAACCCTCTGGGGGCTTGCCCTGCTCTCTGTTCCCTCTTTCCTTCCTTTGGTCGTAGCGTCACGGATCAGGAGGCGATCAACCCGGCGCAGGAACCTCGCGACCCAGACGGTCGGGTTCAGCAACTGCTTTTGTGGCCCAGCAACTCCCGCTGGATTTTCCCGCACCTGTCCTTTGTTTGCTATTTTACCTTTCTTTTTCTATGTGATCCATCTATTCTCCCCCATGTTTCCTTTTGATTGCTGTTTATCTTTTTTTCTGACTCTCCTTTGTCTGAATTTCCTGCCAATAAACTGAGAAAAGAAATTAGACCAAAAAATAAAAAAGTTATTCCCCTCCATCTCATCATCGTAGCGAATGGAACCCCATCACAGTTCAGCTTGTGTTCCATCCTCCAAAAATTCTATTTACATTTTTCATTCAGCAGGCCTTTGCTGTCACCATAGGAGTGGGTCGAGCGCATAAATGCAACGAAAAGAAGATGCAGCCAGCTGGAGTCTCCTCTACCTAAATTGGCCAACTGCGGCAACCACCCCGGCCGAGATGTGCACAAGTGTGGAGCACCTGCTCCTATTTCAACCAATCCAGTGCATGGATCCTTAGCATTGGGTCGAATTGAAGGGCTATGGTCGCCGTTCCGGGTTTAGGCGGCAGGTGAATCAAACTCCAACCGTTCCGTTTTCAGTCAAGACGGACCCCATCGGCAGGAAAAATTCCCACCGGTGCACCATCCACTTTGTGCCGCTGGGAGCTGAACTGTGTGAGACTTCCGATCTCTTTTCCCTCTGGAACTTTACAGTCAACCAATAATCGATTTAGATCTCACTATCTTACATTCCCTGACTCAGGGGAGGTGGGATGGTGATTGGAGGGGCGAGCAAACCAATCCCCCGTAGACGGATGATCACCGTGGCTGTTGCACCAATGCGCTGTCGGGAAACTGGAAAAAGGCCCTCGCTAGGAGTCTAGTGATAGTCCAGATAAAATCCAGCAATTTTTATCGGGTGCGGGCACCGGTGGATCGGTAAACAGACGCTGCATTGGTACCCGGCCACTTGCCACTACACTCACTCACAGCACTTACTGAATGGGGATGCGGTTGATTTATCCGCAGTACTGCCGGCCGGTCATGCTCCGTCTCACCTGCATGCCATACTTTTAAGCCATTACAAATACTCTGATCAAATGAGAAATTACAGACAGTGTGGAAACCATTGCCGCCGTGGAATTATACAGTTCTATGAAGTTTCCGACATAAGTGACAAGACCAAAAAGCTCTTCATGTTTTCTGTGGACCCAGCTACCACGAGTACGGATAACATGATAGAAGAAGAAATGCTTTTTGAATGGATGTTACTCCCTAGTCATCAAACCACTTTTCTCGCACAGACGCGTTGCTCCTCAATCAGAGGCAGTCAAAACTCACCTGCAAGAGAATCCATAGAAGGCAGGCATTTGGAAGATCCTTACGCCTTACCCGTGTGACACATGGTCCAAAGCTCACACTACTATATGCATGTACTTTTCTTGAGCGACAGCTTGTCATCCTCTTCCTGCTCGCCGGATCTGCATAAGCTCTCACTTAGATCGAAACTCTAATAGCGCTACGAAAACCAGAGCCTATTTGACTGATAACATCAACCGGTTTTTCGGACATGGTTGCACCGTGACTAAGAATGAAGTCACTGACTCCTGCAACGCGATGGATTAAGCAACGAGGAATGTCCATCCTGGCCTGCAGCTATCCGGCAGCCTGTAATGACCTGGCCAGGATGTGGTAAGCCCCTCGGTCGCTTCATTTTACCCATATCCCGTAAACATTCCCTGGTGTCACAGGCAAGGGATCGAATGTATCCAGGGTCCGGGCCAGACCAACCCTGCGGTGACAAAGGTCTCCCAAACCCCTCCGCAAGTCTGATACCAATGGCTTGTAGCCACATTCAGGCGGTTCCATGGTGACAAATACTTGGCTTCATTAAAGTGCCAGGGGGTCTATTGTTGCGTAGAAATGAAAGGCGTCGACAGAAGCTGCATTTCGTCGTTCGACCCTTGGAAGGAAGGCGGACGATGAAGTTGCAGGAATAAGCTTTGGTGCTAACGAGACTCTGCAGGGATGCTATCTCACAAACTTAAGCATAACATAGGATCACACGTGCCCGCGTGCCGGTGCAGAAGACAAGGTTTTCTTCTGAGGAAGAACCTTGGCAGAATGCTCCTTCAGGTAGCTCCTCTGCAGCCCAGTGTCTATTCGACCATATCTCGCCCTGAATGTGCCCCTGGACCCCTTTGAATGCAGCCCTGGGCCTTCGAGAAGATTTATCTCCCGCTTCTCTATTCCGAGGATGGGTAGATCGTGGAATCAGGGACGACCCAGCGATGAACCCGACCCGGGAGCCCCACGATCAGCCATGGAAAACCACCTCAAGGGTCTTCCAACTTGCAAGGAGAAAACTCGGCAGAGGAGGTATACTTCACTGAGTGACTTGGCTTGGAAACAGGATTGAAGCGGGTTGTGAACATCTGGAATGCGGGGGTAGTGACCTTGTTAGAAGAATGTGAGAGCCCGGGGCCGGCCTAGAGCGAGCCGAGGACGGCGACAGATTGACAGGAAACGTCGACGATGATCTACGATCTGAAAGATGCGATCTGCCGGGCCCGTCTCAGGGCTGAATAATGGGATCCAGGACCCAGGGGTAAGTCTCAGGTCCACCACCACGATTGGTCGCCGCCTGCCTGGGCTGCTGCCTCTACATGCCGAACTATGGACGAGAACGAATGCTAGCCATGAATTAGTACCACGCCTTTATCACTCTCTTGCTAGAATTCAAGCCCACCAGGGCAGCAAATCTTATGACCCACTCCTTCCAAGAAAAGTATGTTCCTGAATGGAATTGTGCAGTGGGCGACAATGAAGGGGAGAGTACTTGAATGCCGGACTCCCTAGGGGGGTCCGCATGCTGTCACAGGTGAGCGGCGACATTATTGTATAGCACACACCCCTTCATCTCTTTGTATCTTTCTTCTTGTAGATCATGAGGTGCTTTGGGGATTCATGTCTCCTATGGGCCTGGGGATGCGCTCTTCTTCTTCAAGTTGTCGTGTCTGCTTCTTTTGCTCCTCTCCTGCCTCCGGCTTATCCACTTGCTGTTCGCAGTCCCTATCTGTCTTGTTAGTACAGCCTTTGCAATGAAGTTCGGGATTTGCATTGCTTGATCATGTAGAATCAACATATACTGACATGTACAGCTTGGCTTCCCGGATATCAGGCATCGAGCCTTCCCTCTAGTTCTCCTCAGTTTTGGTTCGGAAATAACCTCACATGGTCTGTCATTGCTCGCGTAAATGGTCAGACTTACAGCCTTTTCGGTGTCTCTAAGGAATTAGAAGGCATCCGGGCTGCTACCGTCAGAGATGGCAATTTCACCTCGACACACAGCACTTTTCTGCTGACAGCCGGGTCAAAGAATTTCACTCTCGACTTCTTTTCGCCTGTCTCCCCGACAAACCTTCTACGCCAGTCTCTGCCCTTTTCTTATCTCACGATATCAGTTAGTGGGATATCGAGCAACGACTCTGTCCAGATATACTCTGACATTGATTCGTCCTGGACCGGTCAACCAGATAACGCCACCTGGGCCTTCACGGAAGCCAACAAAACTTCAGTATTTCAGCTAAGCCCCGTGGAAGAGGCCTTATTCTCGCAAAACCCTCAAGAACAGGCGCTTTGGGGTGAGACGGTTTACGCTACAAGGGCTCAAAATGGAAGCGTTCTCTCTTCTGCCTCGGGGCCGTTGTCTGCGATCCGTTCTCAATTCGTGGCCAATGGATCGCTGGTCAATTCTTACGCAAACTGGACATCTGATGGCGTTGTAGCATTTGCGCATGAGTTGGATACAACTACAAAGAATAGCTCGATTACTTTCGCCATAGGCCATGTGCGCGAGCAAACCATTAACTACCTTGGTAATACGCAAACTGGGTACTATCGAGCAATCTACCCAAACACTACATCCGCCGTCTCGTATTTCCTTGACGACTACTCGGACGCGGTGAATGAGTCAATCAACATGGACGAGTTCATTCAAAAGGGCGGGGAATCATCATACGGCACTAACTACTCCGACATACTGGCGTTATCTCTCCGCCAAATCTACGGTGGCATGGAACTCACAATCCCGAATGACACCCTAAACACCGACGACACCATGGCCTTCATCAAAGAGATCTCCAGCGATGGCAACATCAACACCGTCGACGTCATCTACGCATCCTTCCCAGTCTTTTACGTCCTAAACTCCGACTACATCCGCCTCCTCCTAAAACCCGTATTCGAATACATGGACCAAACCAACTACACCTACGACTTTGCCGTACACGACATCGGCATGGACTACCCCAACGCCACCGGCCACAGCCCCAAGGGAGAATTCATGCCCGTCGAAGAAAGCGGAAACATCCTGATCATGACCTACGCCTACGAAAGCGCAACCAACACAACCAACATCTCAAGCACCTACTCCCCCCTCCTGCAGAAATACGCTCAATACCTAAGCACCAACGGCAAATACCCGGACGCACAACTCTCCCTCAACGACGCCCTCGGCAAGCTCGCAAACCAAACCAACCTCGCCATGAAAGCAGCCAGCGGCCTCGCCTCCTACGGCCACCTGACCTCGCAGCAAAACTACACCGACGCAGGCAAATCCATCGCCGACGCCCTCTACAACGGCCGTCTCGGCACAGACCCCAACGGAACCTACTTCACCACCCAATACGACAACGACTCCTGGTTCCTCGCGTACAACCACTACGCGGACGTCTTATTCTCCTTTGACCTCTTCCCCGAAGAAGCTTACAACGCCACCACAGCCTTCTACCCCACCGTCCGCAAACCAGCTGGCGTAGCCCTCGACGCTAACCTCGACTGGGGCCAAACGAACTGGCAGGGCTTCGTGGCGGCAACAGTCACAGATGATGCAAGGGACATGTTCATCTCCGATATCCATGCCTATATTGCTAATGGTCTCAACGATGTACCTTTCTCGGACCGGTACTGGGTACAAGATAGTACGACTGGTGAGGCCGGTGAGTACTTTGCTTTCAGGGCAAGGCCGGCACTGGGAAGTCATTTTGCGTTGATGGCGCTGCAGGGGGCGGATCAGTGGGTGGGGTGATTGCAGTGCTTGATGGGGTTTGGTATACATATACATTGCATGCTGGGCGTATTGTACATAGGTTAGATTACTAAGTTCAGATCTGGAATTAGATGGCATCTGTCGGAATTGATCCATGCATTGTCCCTCGCTAGGGAATATACTTAATCTGTGATTCACTTGCAGGAGAATTTGCATCTCTTGCGCGACTAAGTGCATATATATATATATTGATGGTAATGTTCGTATAAATAGGAATAGTTAGTAGGTGGTATTACACAAATACTTTCGAATATTTAATGAAGACAAAACGATCGAAGTACTATGCACAATGTACATGGACACTAGTACTATAAGTACTCTAAGTTCTAGTAGTCTAGTAGTTATATATAGTGAGCGATGGTATGTATATTTGTTTAGGACTATTGGTTACCGTGCTGCGACTATACTGCAATGAAATAATGGCTTTATGTGGTGTCAATAGTACTAACTTGCTTTTCGAATGTATATATAGCATAAAGTATATGATATATATTTATCATTACAATTCTGATCATCAATGCCACTACAGAGATACTCCACAAAAATAGCCAAATATGCACTTGTTCATTTATAGAAGAAGTAATGGGGTGAGTTCAATGGTTCTATGTAGTGGGTAAGGTCATTATTCAGTTCACATAGAAAATAGAGTTTTCTAGGGAGGAGATAATGGTGGTTGAGAAAGTAAGTGGAGGCAATGGATAATTGCTGGGTCACATCACAGTCAGCAAGTGTTATTTATAGTTAGTTGTCAAATTGCTAAGAATTGGTCTATTGCCTATCAATATCACGTTTCTGATTGACAGCAGGCTTGTGATGTAGGTTTTGTATCTTTCGATAAGCTGAAGTTGTAGCTTATACGTGTATCTTGGAATAGATTGGATATGCTACGTATTCAGGAAGACGTGTGCGGATAGTAGGTATGTTGACACGTGATAGGCTCATGTTGCTGTTCAACATGGCTGGCTGATAAGACTTTTCTGGTTAGGGAGTGGATGACCTGTGTTGTTATTTTTCAGCACGGCCTGCAGTTCAAGTGCCATTTTAGCATGCTGTGGAACAAGCAATGTAATAGCAAGTTAGTAGTGCAGTGGCATGTGAGGAATCTACGTATCAGTCTGCTTGCAGCTTGTGGATAACTCTAGTCCTACTGGTTGCGATTATACTTCCAACCCCAAATCAACTGAGCAACTGCCGAGTTTCCGGTTGGGTTTGAAATGGGGCGAATCTGGAGGCTATCCATATCGCAGCAAACTGCGTAGAGTAATCCATCAGCGGAGGCATCGGATGCAGACGTACAATTCCTTCAAGGATCTTCGCCCTCGACGTTGTCGACAGTTTTTGTCCGGTCTACAGACCGAAACTCCACTATGGGCAAAGCGTCATCTCACTCATCACGGCGACTCCGTATGCTGTGCCAGTCGAGAAACAAACGTAGTAACCTCCAAGTCGCACACTCTGTCCACATCTGGTTCTTCGGTTCCGCGTATCTCGGGCCCAGCTGACCCAAGTGGTCTGACGAATATTCCAACATGTCCACTCTCTAACCGAAGTATTCCCAGGATTCTGGGCGAATCAACTTGCTGATGCCTTGTCAAGCGCCCAAGCATCCCATCCTAGGCGCTGCAACTGTGGGCTCGAAATGGTGCTAAGCCATCGAGCATGGAACAAGCGTCCCGGATGGGCAGCCAGGTCCAACAGGTTCATGGCACCATGTCCCGTTGTTGGTCATGCAGAGTGGCCAGTTCGTTTAACATCGAGTGGTCCAAGATAACAGACAAGTTGCGGGATGGAGAGGATTCATATAGGAGCAAGGTCTGCATTTTCCCAGTCGGGAATGACGATGACGTCTTGCAGGAAGAGAAGGATTTGCGGAGACGGTGTATCTGATGTGCTGGCTAATCAGCAGCACCAGCTCACCGGTATGGTCCAATCCGTTATCCAACGCGCGCGACTTTTTGCTAGCGCCATGCCTATTCGAGTCAAAGCGGCCGACCCTCAGGCGCATCTGGGCGCATGGAGAATCCTACCAGAAGATTCAGTGAAGAGGTCTGTGATCTGAAATCCACCCATGGCTTAAGCCAGGCCCGCTGTTTGAGGGCCTTGGCCCCAACAGCGGTCGTTTCTTTTGATCCAACCTAGATTAGCCCGTTGGCGCGGTTAGGGTGAATCCGTTCTCCCGGCGAAAACCAGATGGACCCACTGGCCGCTTTTATGATCGCGGTACCAACGGTGAGGCCGGTTACCTCCGCCGGCCGAGATGTAGATGGGACTAATATAGTGGTATCGCGATTCTAGCTAGCCTGGTCTATTCCAGCTGGAGCTTGAGGATTACTCACACGCGCGATATGGCGCAAAAGCGCCGGGCGGAACGGTCGGGCTTTTAGTCCGAGGTATGGCTAGCTGTAGGATGCATGCACCTCGCACTGTGGGCTGAGCTTGATCATTGGGCAGCGAGGGCAACGTCACGGACGATTGGTGGGATGCCTATGTGAGATGCTGCTGGGAAGGCGTGGGAGGCGTGGGCGTGGGTGTGGGAGAGGCTGCGGAAGAGGCTTTGTCGCAGCCGGGGTCCATTGTCCACGGAAAGTTACGCCATGGTGCCACCGTGCTCATTCCATCGAGTTTCTCTAAAAGAGCAAAAGGACAAGCGGGAAGATCAGTAACTCCTCCGTGACCGGCAACGGCTTGCCCCTCTTAAGCGGGGTATTATCTCTTGGATGGATTGACTGATTCAGGATGGTCGTGATCGAACCATAGCTAGCTAGCTATGAGAAGCT